CCCCCCCAATAACCCAGCGACTGGCAACGAGGGTCTGGAGTTTGTCTGGAAAACGATTTCTCTTCTTAACATGGATTATAAAATGGTCTCTTGGTGGATATATGGAAAATAGATGCAAGGATGAGACAGTCTGTTTAATAGGTGTAGGTCTTGTGTACGTATATATATAAAAAGGGGAGCAACTGTACTTAAATCTGAAGCAGGATACAGTATGTGGAGGCCGGAAAGCCTTAAGACACAGTTGATCTTTCAGGAAGGAATCCCAGAGCTCGCCAGTTTCCTCAACGTGTGGGAGGCCCCGAGGCAGGCTGGCGCCGGCCGAGTTCCCACTGTCCCTCTGTACCGCCTCCGCTGGCTTCCTGGGGCTCTACTCGGACTGGGGCGGCTGCGTCTCGTTGACGTCGCTGGTCTTACTCTCCGTGTCGTCGTCCGACAGCTCCAGCGAGGCCCCTTCGATGTGCAGCTGACGCCGGCCAGACCGGCTGGAGGAGAAGCTGATGGGGCCGCCCCGCCTGGAGAGGACACAGAGCAGACGACGGGGCCGTGCGGTTGTTCCGCCATCTCCGGACTCGAACCGGGCGCCCTTCCTCAGGACGCCGCGTGGGGTGGGCGGGCGGGGTCGGGAAAGGCTCTGCGGCCGCCTCTCCTGCGCCCCCGCCAGCACGGGGTGCACCCAGCGGGAGGGCCCCGGTCCGGGACGCCCGAGCCAGCTGTTGTGACAGAGACGGGAAGGAAGACGGACAGAGGCAAGGTCCTACCTGCTGACCAAGCAGCAGCATTTCTACAGCGGCCAGACAGTCTGTGTTTTAATTAGGCTTTGGGGGCCAGGAAGGTCTCTGGTGCACGTTCTTGTTTTGGCTTTTTTTAGAACCCTTTGTATGTAAAAACGTTCTTAGCTTGCTGTGCACAAAGCAGCGCACGGCCTGTTTGCTGACGCCCGTGCTGGCACGTTCTGAGGGAGAGAGTTAGGCTCTGGGGCAGGTCAGAGTCCGTGTGGGGAGGAGGGCGATGGCACCGGGGCCCCCTTGCTGCGGATGCCCGGACAAGGACGGGCACCTGGCCTGGCCCTCCAGCTTCGTGCTGGGGATTTGTGTCGTCCACTAATCAGGGGCGGAGGACCGCTGAAGGTCGGGCATCCTGAGGGGGTGAATGCCAAGTGATTCGGGAGCGAGAACGAGCAGCCGCACGTGAACCTAAGGGGGCCTCCGGCCCAGGCGCTAGGCCCACAGACGCGGCTGCTGGCCAAGCTCCCGCCACGGACTCTCCGACACCCAGCGCCTGTCCTGGAAGCCCCCGGGGTCGCTCACCTCAGCCGGTTCTTCAGAGTGCTGACCTCGCGGCTCAGGCCCTCGTTGGCCTCCGTGGCATCGTCCAGTTCCCGCTGGAGTTTACGCCGAGACGCGTTGGCACGCGTGGCTTCCTCTTCTGCTTCCTCCAGCTGCCGTTTCAGCTGCTTCATCCTGGCGTTGGCCTTCTCCATCTTGGGGAGGTCACAGGACCAAGTCGGACCACACCGGGGAGATCAGAGTCAGCACGGCCACATCCTGAGCATTTAGCACAGCTCACCACCCCGAGAGCCACGTGAGCGCACACATGTACGTCCGTGTACACACACACACACACACACACACACGGGGGATGGGCTGAGCCTCTTGGTCAGCCTGCCGCTCTCAGCAAAGCCAGTGTCTACCAAGCAAACCATATACTAAAGGAGACT